GCAAGAGCAAACTTGGAGTGGACCATCCAGACACGCTGACCAGCATGGCCAATCTGGCGTCGACGTACAGGAATCAAGGGCGATGGGAAGAGGCGGAGTCGCTGGAGGTGCAAGTGATGGAGACGAGCAAGAGCAAACTTGGAGTGGACCATCCTTCCACCCTGACCACCATGAATAACCTTGCGTTCACTTTTAAGGGAAAGGGCGATAAGGGGAAAGCCATTAGGCTAATGGAAGAATGCGTTCGAAAACAGAAGTATATCCTTGGCCTAGACCACCCCTACACGAAAGACTCAGAAGATTCACTTAATAGTTGGCGCATAGAAGGCTTAAGCCTGGGTTCCCTAAATAAAGAAGCAGGTAACGCAGTAGCTATAACATAGCCAGCAAGCAGAGACATGTCGCGCCTGCCGCGAGGGCCTAAAGTTGCATATAGGTACAAGAAATAAGTCTTACAGCTAGGAGCGCTTAACAAGATAGTAGTGAGGCTTAATAGTGTTTGTCAAAGATGGGAATTGGTAGATGCAAGAAGCACGATAATTAATGTTAGAGGATGGCGACGTGGCGACAGGTTATTCAAGGAGTATAGGCGAATACTTAGTTGGGGAGGAGGAGCGGAGGGCAGCAGAGCAAGTATCTTACCACGGGGTTTCTGTCATGCAACGTTTCGTAATACGGCCTAGCCACATTCAGAAGGTTAAGCGCCCAGAAAGATTGATTGGGCAAGATGATAGCAAGGGAATGCTTCCGCCAGGGGATGAAAGAACAGTCCTGTGGGCAAAAGGTAACGGGGATTTTGCAATCTACTGTATATCCTACTCGAATCTAGTCATTGTTCCATGCTTACTTTCCCCATAGTAGGATGTTCCACTACTAATGGTGAACCCCTCCGCTTCATTTCTCAATTTTAACTGTTCCTCTTGTATAAAATATTCAGCTGTGGAAGCGGTTCGAATGAGAGTGTGAGAGTAGGGGTAGCGCCAAAGCAAGCCGGGTGGATTGGTACACAAGGGATCTAAGTAAGGGAGGCCGTGCCTGCCGCTAGGAAACCTCTAAATCCACACTCTCCCCCCTAAGATAACAGAACAATTTCTCAAAAATTTAAGAAGACTGATGTCTTATGGATAGACCGGGCTTATCGATATGCAGGCCCTCATATCATCGCTGAGGTTTTGCCATCTATGTTTTTATCGCGGATGTATGCTGGATTATCGATCTACTCGCTGTTAGCGACATGGAAACTAGCTGATCTCGTATTTGTCCGCTCAGTCTGAGGCTAGCCTAACTCAATCAAAGGCAAATTCAAGAGAAGCTGAATACAGCCTGTGAGGGATGAAACACCAAGATGAAATTCCCCCAAGAGCTTGTTGAATTAGAATAGCTAGCTTGATCTTTGGTTAATGAATCTTGTTCCATCTTACGTTCAGGTTAGGGCTCTTCTTCTTAGAGTTGGATGGTATCGATTCTTGTTGTGGACAATCGGTTATCTCCTGTTGGTTTTGAAAAGAACTATGGCAGGTTCGTTCCGGTACAACGTTCTTAGCCCCGCTGGTCTGAATTGATGGATGGGTAAATAGTGAGATGGAGAGGTGGCCGGGGCACTTGTGCGTTGTCTAGGATGATAGCCTAATAACTGCAGTGTTTGCTAGTGTAGGACGTTTCACCCGTCCAATCCCTGCTAAGATCGGTAGGCTAAGAATCTATTCAATCATGGCGGCGAGGCCACGCTTGGTTGGAAGCCTCTAATTTCTCTTCAAGGTGTCCGTCCGAGATATCCATGATGTAATTCACGTGTCCTGTGCGTCCATAGACAACACCAAGTAGCGTTAGAATGCGGTAACCTTCTATCCTATTCACGAGCACGAAATGAATCCTTGGTCGATGGCAGACGACACCAAACTAGAACTCTAGCTTTGGATAAACTGCGAATAGCCAGTGACAGCCTTGTGACCTCTTGAAACACTTCTTCCTCTCCGCCATCATCTTCACCAACGGCTTAGAATAAACGCTGATACCGCATTACAGTTATGACAGTGCAGCATGCCACGCCGGAACTCGAGAGGTTCGTGGGCAGGGATTGCACGCAACCGGCCTCTAGGAATGGGATTGAGGGGTAAGTCGGGAGCGCAGCGGAGACCTTGTATTCGTAAACAAGCGTTAGCAATTCGTCAACTACATGCTGTAGGAGCCGAGGGAGATGCTCGAAGCTGATGGGAAGTGATGCAATTGGTTGCGTGACGTTTGGAGCTCAGATTGCGCTTGAGGCTGCTGGCATCTTAATGAAACAACTTTTGTCAGCGGGTTTTGGTGCAAGCAATTGTACAGCTGCGCCCTAAATTTCCTGGTATGTCCAACCGTTTCTCGCTAACTTGAGAGTAAGTGCGAGGCGATGGGGTAGCTACCGTTTTGGTGGGTGTTGCGCGAGAGGTAGTACACCGCTAGTGCCAAGAGCTCGCAAAATCTGGATTTCTGCCGCTTACCAGCACTCCTCGAAGTGCTAAGATAATGCGAAGTGTAGAGAAGCGAAGCTCTGCGTGGATCGTTTGCAATTGGCACCCATGATCTTGGGGTTGTTATTTGGGCAATAGCTTGCGCAGTGGTGTCACCTTGCATCAAGTCACTGCTTAGTTCCAACCCGGTGGAGGCTCGCCGCTTTTTACACGCACACATCGTTCAGCACAGATTCAAGCCTTGAAAGGGAGTCAGGACAGTGTCCCCGCTCCTATTCAAACTATACAATCTGGAAGACGCTATGCAAATATATCCTCTCGCCATGTACAAGGCGTATTGATTCCTGCGCTGCTCCATTCGGCCCTCGCCACTGCTTTACAGTTAGAGGTAGCTCAGGGATCTGTGAAGTTCTGAGCCGCACTCTGGCCCAGAGCCTTTGGACCATACGCAGTGCCCATTTCTACCTTTATATATCTCCAGTATACCTCTGCACAGACCCATTCAGCAACGTGGAAGCTAGAATGACATTGCGGGGCAAATTCGTCGGCCCTTTTTGAGAAGCCGACAGCCTACCAAAGAGTGTTCGACATGGGTGACTGATTTCTTAGCGCCCATGATAGTTGACCCACGGCTGCTTGGCTAGCGGGAGGGGGCTTCAGGCTCATAATGAATCTTGAGGTGCCAAACCCTACCTTAATAATCGCTAATAGGAGAACTACCTCTTAACTAGTGTAACCTCCTTACCTACCAGTGGCCACCCATCAATTCAAGGCTGATAATCCATGGCCTATCCATCTACCCACGTCGAACACACTTGACAAAATAATATGAAGCTTTCCAATCTCTGACTCAAATATCAATAGGATTTGTATTGAGGGACAGTTTACACCTGAAATACTGCTGATGTCCATGATGTTGCAGCTAGCTGGACTCAGCAAGCAAAAGGTTGTAGCCAACCCGCAAGAAGGCGGTAAAGCTGCTGGGAGATCTTGAGTGTCCTGAACTCTCGCCCAAAGCTTGAGTAGTATATAGCTAGAGCTCGTCGTGGGGAGCGGGAGGCCTTGCCCTTTTCGCGAGTCGCAGGCTATCAGAATGGCCTGAAGACGGAGCTAGACGGATAAAACAATCACGATGTTGACGCTTTCCTGGAGGGGCATAGCATGCTGCTAGGAGAACCTTTGGCGCTCCGACGCCTGGACTAGATCTTTATCATTTTATTCAAAGCTTAAGAATTATGTCGAAGGCGAGAGTAGTCTTTTCATAGTTTGGTTTCCTCTATCAGTACCACTTAGCCATATTGTTGGCGGCCCTGGCCCAGCACCGCATGTCAACGCAACAAGTTTGGCACTAAAACTCCACCGCCTATCTTGGCCCCTTGTCAAAAAATGATCTTAATCCTTGCTGCTCTTGCCCGCTAATCCGAAATAGATATAAAAAAAAGCCAAAAAATACATGTTGTTGAATCGACCTCGTTCACGTGTTAGCATCTGGTGCCCATACAAATCTGCGCTGTAAATCAAACGAAGCGTAGTGGGGGGTTGCCCAGTGGGTTGCCAATCCCACTGGACAAGGAAAACCTGAAATTTTGGCTACTATATAGGCATCTAAATTCAAATTTTCGGGAAGCCTTTTGGGTGTTTTCGAGGGGTGAATCATGTGCTGAACAGTCTGCAGACTCAGACTAACACGGACCGAGAGGCATACCTCGGGAGACCCTTCTAGAGAAGGGTGTGAAAAACTTCTGGCTAGGAACGGCCCGAACGGCTACCAACGCTCGCCTAGCGCTACACCTCGAGGACAGGTCTGGTGCTATTCTCTTCACCTTATCTAATTTCCGTATTAGCACTACAACTTCAATGGAGCTTCCTCTTCGACTTCGAAATCAACCAGAACCTCCCTCACTACCCATCCTCAACACCACAACCACACGGCCACCTTGTCTTCGACGTTAAAATCAATTAAATCCTTCGGCACGACCAGCTGAAGGGCAAGTTCATGCTAAGAATCTACTGGCCCAGGACCCTGGCTACTTTCCGATGCAAAAGACGTCTTCGTTCTCGCTCAACCGTAATCTAACTCCGCCATCACCATCATGACTTCCGTTGTAGTCTTCCTTGACGAACTCCCAGCTTTCGAGAGCGTGTGTAGTTGCGTGCCGCACGCCTGGGACTTCGTCGCCGAACGTTCCTACCACTGGGCTGTCACCTCCATCTCCACCACCATCCAAAACGCAGTCCACGTCCATACCATCGCCCGAGACCCTCAAGTCCCAGAACAAGGGCAATGGGGACGCGGCTCCCTTCCTCCAATACTCCCCCCCTCCCTCCGCCCTTCGGTACTTCAATACAACATTTGTGATTTCGCTTGCCTCACCATGGCGCTCATTCTCGACAAAGCCGTTAAGGGGATTAATGTGGCACTAGATATCAGGTGGATTCAGGTTTTAGTGCGCCCCTGAGATGCAGTTTAGGTATGATGGGCAAGTGCTTTACCACTATATACACTCTGTAATCCTAATCATTGGGATCCACGGACACTATATAATTGACCTCACCCGCCACCAGTTTGGCTTCCCTGCCGTGAAGTCAGCGTGACCAACAGGAAGGACTACAATTCGTAGAATACGATACGTTACAATCACGTGCATTGTAGAGTTGTATACAGTAAGTCTCTAAGTTGTATTAAATTGTACTTAAGCCTAAAAAGTATATTGTATTACAACTTGTATAGGCTTTTTTTAGTGGTAAGGTTTAAGGTGAGGCCTAAGTAGTCTAGTAATAACCAACCCCCCTGTCTTGGCCCGAGTCACGGGTCACGTGCCCGGGTCACGTGCCGTGAGGGGTCACGTGTCGTGAGGGGTCCTCCGCAGGAGGGTCTAGTCGCCCGTGTAATTTTTGGTAGCTTGGGGGCCCAGATTTGTATGGGAAAATCCACCTTCTCCTAACTTTAACGCGACCTACTATCTCTCTATTGCTCTTATTGCCTGGCTTAGCGCAAGAATAAATTAATTTATTTAATTCTGCGTTAACTAGTATACTTTTTAGCAAAATCGCACTATAGGTTGCAGAGATAACCCTGTGTTCAATTAATTACCTTAGGGGCCTAGCGTTTGTGCAATAGATCCTCTCACACCCCTAGCAACTTAACTATATAAGGACAATAATACAGCTGCGCGCGTTGCCTTAATTCTTACGCATATATAAGGTATAATAAACTCTCTATAAATTTGTTAGCTTTCTGCGCTTATAAATTATATACACAGCTAGTTGTAGTATTTTAATTTATCCTAACGTACTTCATAGGCGAGTTGCTCACACACCTGAGTCGCTTACTTTTGCTAAGACCCTACTAAACTACCCTTCCTACACTAATGCATTCCCTACAACACTACTTAGACGCGCTAAAAGAACATTAGATACAGCTTACGCTCTAAGCTTTTAAATAAGACATAAAACTCTTAAAGAAATGTGCTATAGCTATGTATAAAGTCCTATAAAAGACAATAAATAACTATAGTGCTAGATAACCTTTACAAGCTAATTCTACAGCTAAATTATAGAAGCTAGGTAATAAAAAGAAGCAGGTAATTGTTAAGACTATACTTAAGCTATATGCGCAAGGAATTTCCTCTTAGATAGCATTTATAGCTAATATAGCTAATTCTTTGCGCGCTAAGCGTAATCTAGGCTATGTTTATATAAACTAGCCTAGTACGTTTGTAAAGCGTTATTTAGAGCTTAAAGTAACATTTAAGCGTAAGTATAACTATAAGAGAGCCCTCTGCAAGAGTCCTAGGGTAATTTAGAGCAGGTTTAGCCTTGTAGAGAATATTAAAGCTAAGTATAGCATCTAGAATAATAACACATATAACTTTAGTAAGATAGGGTTTATAATTAGCTAGATATCTCTTAACTATACTTACACTTAAAACTTTACTTTAAGCTCTAAATAACACTTTATAAATGTACTAGGCTAGTTTATGTAAACATAGCCTAGATTACGCTTAGCGCGCAAAGAATTAGCTATATTAGCTATAAATGCTATCTAAGGGGAAATTCCTTGCGCATATAGCTTAAGTATAGTCTTAATAATCACCTGCTTCTTTTTATTACCTAGCCTTTATAATTTAGCTATAGAATTAGCTTGTAAAAGTTGTTTAGCGCTGTAGTTATTTATTATCTTTTATAAGACCTTACACATAGCTATAGCACATTTCTTTAAGAGTTTTATATCTTATTTAAAAGCTTAAAGTGTAAGCTGTATCTAACATTCTTTTAGCACGTCTAAGTAGTGTTGTGGGGAATGCATTAGTGTAGGAAGGGTAGTTTAGTAGAGTCTTAGCAAAAGTAAGCGACTCAGGTGTGTAAGCAACTCGCCCATAAAGTACGTTAGTAACATTAGAGGGCTTAGCTAAAAGTCTTTTTTACCTGCGCTTATGTTTTATATGCGCAGGTAGTTATTATATTTATAATTACACTTTAGCTAGATATCTCTTTAGTATATCTCTTTACTTTATGCTGTATTATGTTTAGTTTACTCTATAAAGTGCGTTATAAAGGGCCTAGTTAAAAGCTTCTCTTAGCTGCGCTTATGTTTTATATGCGTAGGTAGCTGTTATATTCTTAATTATACTTAAGCTGCATAGTCCTTTTGCTAACTGCGTACAGCTAATATTACTTTAACATTATATACTAATATGCGTTCTTTGCTGCTATTTAACATAGATTTCTTCTATAAGACAGAGCTCTATAAAACAGAGCAGCACACATTGCCTGTTGCTGCTACTACTACACTAAGGCTGCTAGTACACAGTGTTAGACAGCCTAAAGGTTTAAAATTATTAAAGTCTATGCTTATGTAGTAAGATCTACTAAAGCTAAACCTTACAGCAAAAGAGTAGGAGCAATTTGCCTTATATATAACTGCAGTTAAGGGAGTTTACTATAACAACAGCTAGAGGAGAGGCTTGTTCCTTAAGTTTATTAGGCTTACCTCCTAAGCCTTACAATATTAAGCTATGCTGCTTAAAAAGGTAGATAGGAACAGTGCTATAAAGCTACATTTATAGTCTGTTGTAACACCTAAGGCTGCTATCTAGGACTACATCACAAAGCTTAAGGCTAAGCTTAATGTGTTATAGTTAAAAATAATGTTATTTAGATAATACTTTTAATAAGCATTAAGTGCTTTTATCTAGTGTGCTTAGTCTAATATTACAGCACCTATTTGTTAGTATGCTAGCACCCTGTTTAATCTCCTATTCTAGTTATACTAGTTAAGTATAAGGACACCTAATAATAAAAACTATTTATAAATTATATTTATTATTTTAAATATCTGCTTTTTACAGCATTTTAAGCTATTAAACTGCTTTTTATCTCTACTATCTCTTCTTCTTTACTCTATAGGCGTAAAACAACATGTTTTTAAAGTAACACAGTCTCTAAGGTTAATAGAGTTATATAACTCTGCGCAGCGCTTAATTAGTGCGCTTAAGGCTACTGCGTAAGAAGTTATTTGCTATTACTAGTTTTTAGCGCTGTGCGCTTTAGTATATAATAACTGTAATATACACCTTAGCGTTAGCAAGTAAAGCTACATAAAAAAAAGTATAACCTTTTTAATTACTACTAGGCTAATATATAGATTCTATAGTGTTATAACTAATTAGGGGTGTTGCTATCTGCGTTAGTTAGACTTTAACAGCACAATCCTACTAGACATAGGCAAAATAGACCCTCCTTCTAAGCATAGTAATATTATAGAGGCCTTTTATACTACGTAAACTATTAGCATTTTACGTAAAGCCTACAGCGCTGTTATTAATAAGTTTATTACTATTAGTTAAGAGCTTAAGAAGTGCTTAAAGATGCTAAAGATTAACTACTTACTTATGCTACCCCTAGGAAACTAAAAGCTAACTTTAATAATACCTATTTAGCTAGATAAAAGTATAGTAGTAAATAATATTAAAATACTTTAAGACTTTTTTTAGTTATAGATAGGTCTTACTAATAAGCTATTTATAAAAAACAAGCTAGTGTTTCTAGTTACTAGTAATAATAAGACGCTAAATTAAATGTAGTCTGCTAAACTTAGCGCTGCAGGGAATATAACTGTGTACAATAAGCTAAGCTATGTAGTACCTCTGCCTAGATTGTTCCACGCCTAAATGCATAGCATTAGAGCTATACTTAAATTATACTTTAAAGACAAGCTAGCAGCAGGTGACTAGGTTTGCCCTGCTACACTAAGATATTCTGCTAGCAAAATAGCCTAGAAGTTTGTTACGCTAAAGTCCTTTATATACGCCTACAGGAGAACATTTATGTAGGATAACTATAAGGCTTAAATTATTACTAAGTTTTATTACTATCTAATTACTTATTAATAGCATAGCTTAGGGTTAAACTAGCAGTTTCTACTAAGTGTAATAGTAAAAGCAGTAAATAACTTAATAGTAAAAGTGTTTACTAGTTTAGTTAAAAAAATAGTAGATTTACTATAAAATCCTAAGAATTATATAGAAAATTATAAGTGTTAGGTTAATTTTATGTTTATCTAAAACTGCTATGCGTATAAGCTCCTCTTTTAGGCTATTAAATATAGGGACGTTAGCCTGCTAAAGGTGGCTATCCCTAAGGTCTTATAACTATATGCTTACGCTAGAAAGCGTGCTTACACCTTAAAGTTTTTATACTTAAAGCGCCTTATTAACAGTAACTATAGCAGCTTAGCTACTTACATAGCTATAGCTTTTACTTTGCTTATTAATCTAACTAGTTAGAAAAGTAGTTAGTTTCTAGTTAACTTTATAAATAAGTTTCTTAACTATAATGTAAAGAACTAGTAAAGTAATAAGCGCACTTTAACTACTTTTATTTATAATTTTTCTAAGTACTACACCTTTAATGCTATTTTTTTTACGCCTCTTAAGCGTGCGCTTTATAAAATGTAGGGCGCAAACGCTTAAAGGCAGCATAACTATGTCTAGCGTAGTGCTGTTATTTAGTTGCTAGCAAAGGCATTAAGTATAATAATAGCTCTAGATCTATCTTAAAAGAATGCTACTATCTCTAGTATTAACATTAATCTAACTACTGCTGTAAAAGTAATATATAAGTCTATAGATATATTAAATCACAAGTTTCTATATGCTGCAGATAAGGATGCTAAGGATAAGATAGTAGCAGCTATTAAATTTGCTAATAATGTTATAGCTTTAGTCTTTAACATTATAGCTAACTTTAAGCTAATTAGTAAGCAGCTTTATCTACTAAAAGTTAATTATAAGTTCTTTAATAAGTGTAATAACATTAGAGTTATGCTATAAAGTCTGTCCTTTTTATTAGTGTAATTTAGAAGTTAAATGCACACATAATTTACATGCGCAGGTAATATATAAATATAATAATTTTTATATATAGGAGTTATAGCATCTAAGTTATGTTTTTCTACTATGTAGTATTACATTATAGCCTGTGTAGTAGTAGTAAAAGTTTCTGCTTACTTTTACTTTTTACTCTTAGTTTCTCTTACCTACACTTAATAAAGTTATAAGTAAAATTTACTAAGTAGCTATACTAATATTTTGTGTGCGCAGCTTACTGCAGAGTTTTATTTATATATATATGCAGTGTCTGCACTGTGTTTAGAGTATATAAGAGGTAAGCTTTCTAACACTATAGTCTGTGCACAAAAACTTACAATACACAATATCTCTAGCAAGGCATGCATCTGCGCCTCCACGTGTTAAGATTAGTACTAAAAATAAAGTTACTCCCTACGCACGTTAATAGCAAGTGCAGGTTAGTGCCTAATTATAATAGTTATAGTTGCTAGGTAGATGTATTATTATTATTAATATTATTGCTATAGTAATAGTAGTTAAGCATAATATAGTAAAAAGAACTATTTGCTTAGATCTATATAGTAAGTCTTATA